CATATATTGAGGAGATATATATATTGTGTGTATATATATCTCCTCAATATATGTTCCATTCTATATGCATCCGAAGAAGTGGGCTGTAGTCCACGAAAGCTTATGCTCTAATAAATTTGTTAGTCTCTAAGGTGCCACAAGTACTCCTGTTCTTCTTTTTGCGGATACAGACTAACACGGCTGTTACTCTGAAACCTATACTCAGATAGGGCATGAGCTATTTTAAGCATAACCGAACTTTCTAACTTATATCAGCCTATCCTTCCATCACAGCTTTTGTGCTCCCTCCTACAAACCCCCTTCAGGAGTACAAAACACAGGTTACAAGATCTTATATGTTACCTTCCCCATATAATCCACACAAGACACTGCCTTGGTCTATCACACTCCATTATCTCCAGTACAGAAAGAGGCTACAGACCCCATGTTCCAGCTGAGGGGAGCTTTTCTTCGGTCCATCCAACATACAACTAAGAATCCCTAGACACGCGTAAGAAATCTTGTACTGGATGTAAGCAAGAAGTTGAACACGTTATAAAGATTAGTAATGAATATACACCACAAAAAGTTTGCAAAGTGGCTTTTTAGTGATGCTGTTTTAAGCAAAACTCCTTGTTATTTTACCCCAACTATTCTGTACTGTGTTTTGTGTCTTCAGTGTTCACAAGATTTTTACAGAGCCTCTTCCAAACACAGGAAATCTAAATGCTTTATAATATATGTAAGGGGACAGTTTTGATTTTGCTTCATGGTACAACTTGAATAGTGACTGCTAGTGAACAGCAGCCATTTGGGAGCTCAGCAATAACTCAGTTTGCAACACTGAAACACATCCATTCCCAGGAAAAAAAGCACACTAGGATTACCCTATCATCTACAAGAGCTTTACAAGAAAGAGCTAATGGAGCTGGGATGTGTGCTCAGTGTCTCAAAACTGCAGCAGCAGCACTGGTCAACAGCTTAAATCTAGGTGTAAAACTTGAATTCATAACTTTGCAGTCCAGAATCTGAAGGGCTATCAACTGAGCCACACAGGATTCATGTGCTACCATGATACACAAACAACCTATGGTCAATGCTTCCACAGCCAACTTCAAAAACCACGTGCATCTATTATAACCATTAAGTTTGTGTAAATACTTGTACAGTGTGCACACTGTACATTCAAAGGTGCTACTCCAAAGGTAAATATTTGGGGAATGTTCCATTGGTTTTTCAAAGCAACTATTACATCATCATGTTGGTATTTTCAGCCTGCTATAAAAAGCATGTCAAAAGATCAACCCTCTACAGAACCAACTTCTCCCCCCCTCCCCCTCCCCCCATGGCAGGGTCAGGGTGAAATCAGTCCCAGAAAAAGAAGCATAAGCTAAGATTAATCAGAGTGTAAATACCAGACAGGTCCTCTTAGGACACCGCTTATTCTGCAGATTGGTTTCAAAACATGACTGCATTCCACATTGCCATTATTTTGCTACTGTGTATATTAACTGCCAGACAGTATAGTTTAGAGCAATATAGTATGTGAAGGGTGAAAAGCTGTAGTCTGCATCTTCAATCCAGGACATGTTTTATGTTACCTCAGCTTTCACACTAGGATAGATTCAGTGGTTCTACATGGGCCACCAGTGGTCCATACAGCACATGGTGGCCTAGAGAGTTGGCTGGTCATTCAGTGCTAACTTTCCTTTTTCCTCCAGCTGCTGAAGTCCCCTGAAGACAGCTACATGTACTTGAATGCTACTTTCCTATGTAGGTCATTGATGTAGTTGGCAGAAGGATATTCTACAATCATGAATGAGATGGGAGGCGATCTCTGGGATTGAGACAGTTTCCTTCAAAAATGTGGTCTATACTGGAAGAATGTTTTGAGAGACCCTGGTGCAGATTAGCTGGGAAGAACTTTCATTACCAGCCTACAGAAAGCTGAGCTAATGGTAAAATGCTGTCCTTGAACCTCCCTCAAGCAGAATGTAGTCCCAAAGCAAAATGCTGGCCCTTTTCTGTGTAACAGAGAGCTGGCAAACAGGAAGCCCAGGTTTCATGTTTAAACAGACTTCAATTCCACATTAAGAAAGTAACCACTAGCCATAGTGGTTCGAGATTTGGAAGTATCCTATAACGATGTGTCTGAGGCTGTTAGGTAAATATATTTTACCCATCCTAGAGCCTTTCTGAAGGCCTGCACAGTGAAACCTACAGCAAGTTTAAAACCCTTGAGCTCTTCCACACTCCATAGCAAAAGGGGACAGAGTCCCACATTTTTCTAAGAGTAAGCTCACAACCTGGGAAGGAGGGAGAAGTCATCCCACACAGCATTTTCTTTTCAGTCATGTCACTGAAATGACTATCTGCTGCTGTAATTACTTTCAAAGAGTAACAGCTGCTGCTGAGGGTCCTGTGGCACCTTTGAGACTAACAGAAGTATTGGGAGCATAAGCTTTCGTGGGTAAGAACCTCACTTCTTCAGATGCAAGCATCTGAGGTCTTGCATCTGAAGAAGTGAGGTTCTTACCCACGAAAGCTTATGCTCCCAATACTTCTGTTAGTCTCAAAGGTGCCACAGGACCCTCTGTTGCTTTTTACAGATTCAGACTGAGACGGCTACCCCTCTGATACTTGACAGCTGCTGCTGTTTATCACAAGTGCATTTTCTGATATTAAGTGTTTGCAATGGTTATTTTTCATAAGCCAGCTGCTGCAGTGGCAAATTCCATGTTATTTTTATCAGGCTGCTTTTAACTGAATTTACACTTAATAGACTTAGCCAGTGGTTTGGGGTTTTTGCCTTCTAATCAATCACTCTTAAAAACTGAATTGAGCAATAGGAGCAAGACCTGGGTTGACATGAACAGTTTAAAAAAAGATGAACAACATTGCTTAGTGCAATAAAACAATCTTTCTCACAAGACATTAAAGGAATACAACTTCTCCCCTGTAGTCCCATAAATATACAGGTCTATGAAAGTTAAAGCCAGTTCCACATAAAATGTGTAGCCTTGTATGCATCCATAGGTGTGAATTTTATTACATTCATGGTTATAGTAACATACAATACATATATAAAATACAGGCTTGACACTTGGAGTGTATCTGTACACGCAGACATGTCCCCTTTTGATTTATTTAGGGCCCAATCCTGCTCCTATTTGAAGTCACTGATAAAACTGCCTTCAAATGGGAACAGGATTGAATCCTGCTCCCTTTGCTGTGTTTTCCTTAAAGTGCAGTGA